CGATGGTTGACTGATTTCTCCTTGATACCACTGTTTGTAAAGGAAGTTCCACGATGTCTTGAAGTAACTTCTTAGACGTTCTACGCCCTGAAACTGCTATGCGCGGGAACCACATACAATATTATGAAGTGGGTTTAGGATATATTTTGTTCGTGTATATTGTAGGTATACACTACTGTATATAGAATACACACTGTGTATTGTATTATTGACGACGTCGGCGGTGTGTATATTGTACAACGGACGCATGTAATATAGTGTTTATAAACCAATATGTATAGATTCCACAAAATTGGAAACTATTTTTGGTGGAGTGAATAATAAATTAATTTTTGAATATTTTTCCACGATATATTCAAACGATCGTGCACGTATATCTTTACATCTATCTAGTAATAAAAAAATTATACGAGTGAAATATATGTGTATCGTAAAAAGCTGATGAAAATATTTTGATATTGTAAACAGTAGTATAAACAGTAATCAATAGCCGGCGGAGTCGATACAAAATCGGTGGAATCGATTTACACTATAGAATTTTACTGCGAGGTCCTATTAATGATGAGGCTCGAGGAAAATCCCGTCTTTAATCATATGTAGTTCCACCTCTGAACGTGTCCAAACCATACGAACATAGGCTTAACTTGGGGGACTTGGGGGGCTGAGCTTACTTGTATGTAAGGTTTTACTACATAAATATTACTCAGAAATTATTAATAAATTAAACACAAAAATAGTCGTAAAAGACGTACGATTATTAATAACTTGTGATAACGATTAACGAGTAACAAAATATTAATGAAACTGACTTAAAATCAGAAATTTTGGTTGCAAAAAATTGTTATGATAGTCAATTGGAAAACATTAACAAAATAATAACAATAAATATCCGGTCTTGCATCATGGAACCGTCTTTGACGCTTTGGCTCTAGTAATGAGTATACAAACTATAACGGGTATCCGAAATTTTGTAAATCGGGTAATACCCGTAAAACCCGGGTACCCAGGTATCAATTAAGAAATTAAAATAACATTGAGGCAATAGCAATTGGTGATAACTAAACGTTAAGTATACAAAAGGTGTTGATAAGAAATAATGATTATTAATTTGGATTCGGGAAGATATAATTAAGAAAAGACGGTATTCTTAGATAGTAATGAGTTTAAGAGTGTGGTTAAAAGTGAAATTAATGGGTAATGAGGGAATGTAATTGTGAAACAAATTGAGATAAAATATTTGATATTGATTCGTTATTAGAATTGTTTGAGTTGCTTGAAGTTGCTTCTGCGTATGTCTTGGCCTTGGATTTTTCTTTGTGTCGGGTGTGCGTGGACAGGAACTCCACTGTGACTGACAAGATCTTCTTTGAGGGCACTAATGGTGGTACAAGTGGTGTGGTCTTGAGGTGACCATTCTTATGATTCTTACGATAAGGGTTCATAAATTTCTTTAATGAAGGACAACCTTTAAAGTTCGCGGTATGTGCGCCAGAATGTTAAAAAATTCAAATTTTAAATGTCAGAGAAATGTTATGGTCTTATGGAGATGGAGGTAACATGTGTTAACTCATGTCTAAAAGATTAACATACGATTTTTGAATTCAGCGACCTTAAATTAGTTTAAAAATATTTACTTTAAAATGTTCATTCTAATAGTTTGATGCTTACCAAGTTAAGGGTTAAACTTATATATGATCATGGGCGCCCGCAAAAGGAGGCCAAAGGGGCCATTGCCTCTACTGGGAACTTTTGTTTCAAAACTATTGTTAATTTAATACCACGCATATTAATTATAACATCATTTTATTGAGATCCATTTATGAAGCTTAGTAAAATTTATCATATTTTTAGATATTCTAAAATATATAATCTTGATTGTATTTATTTGTTTACAATGTTTACGCAAGACTGCATATCGCTTAAGACTATAAATTCTCCCGAGTACCGATTTCTATGGTAGGTATTTGATTTTGTTCTCATATATTTTTAGATACACGTTGTGACTCTTAGAATTTTAATCTTAATCCCGGGTGGAATTTTATCCTGCGGGCGCGCTTGTATATAATTATCATAGATAATAAAGAATAGATAGGACATTCCTATAAACATTTAATCAGCTGATTGTTTGACTAAATTTCTCTGGAGGCTAAATATGATGCAGATGATTCATATCATACGGTTTAAGCAAGGTGTATTGTATGTTGCATAGACATACGGCGTAGAGGAGATTATTTTATTTATTTTTTATTTATATTATGTCTATGATACATTGACACCTACAGTCTATGATAATACACTTGTAATATATTACATCAATGCATCTACAATAATAAATGAACAATGATATTACTCAAAGTAATTATATTGAGTACGTCACTGGAACTATTTGTACAGAATATAAAATATGGTTACATTGTATCACAAAATACAGTATATGACATTCCTCTCTGTATTATACAAAAATTGTTTAGTATATATATTAAAAGAAAAAAGTTTGGTAATATTTTATTTTATTGAATAAAAATTTTTTCCAACTGTGTATACTAAGTAGTTATAAATGCACGTCCTGTATCTAATAGTTTGGCTTTGTATCAAAATAATATATTACTAGTCTGCCATTTTGTTAAATGTTTTGTGGCTTAATACTTGTAGTTAATATTAATTTTTAACATTAGATTGTTTTTATTTCAGATTGATATTGATTTTGATTATATATATCCTACAAAAGAAAACTCACTGTTTGTGAAGTGGGATAAATTTATTATTAATATTATTCCGTTAATGATCACTAAAATAAAAGATGGAAACAGCAAATTATTACTCAAGCGTTTAATAGAAATTAAAGAAACAGATATTGGTACAATATTTAAAAGCTATAATTTTAATTAATTCAATTAAGTTATGCTTATTTTTGCTTTTGTAGAAACCAGAAATCACTTAGTTTTGGATTTAATGAATGCTCTATTGGTTCCAACTTCCAGATCATTTGAAATAAATCCTCTTACCAACATAGGACACATAGTCAAAACATCTATTTCCGATGCCAAAACGTCTTTTTTATTACAAGTGGTTTCACTGAATGATTTGCATGTTCAATGCCAATTACAAATTGACAACGCTTACAAAAACAAAGAAAAAGTACAACCATTCATATGCATTGTTGGAGCTGACTTAGATGGTACAAAAGATTTTTATGTTTATTATTTCAATACTTATTATAAATTACCTAACATAGTTCGTGCATTAGACACATGTTTTAAAATTTTCCAAGTGTTCAATTTACAGTATCCCATTCAATCTGTTTTAGTTTGGACATTTATACAAAAATTTGTCTATGATATTCATAATGAGTGTGATGTTAAAAGTTCTTCCTTAACATCATTAATTTCTGATTTATCTACTATTTAAATTCTCATAATTAAATTTAGTATTTATAATATTGTTAATTCTTTTTTTTCAAACTAATATTTTGGAAACATAACTCATTTAAATAAATAAATATTTATGTATAACGATTTGTAAATATAAATTAATTTATACAATGGATCTAATTTGCTTTATTTGTAAAGATTTATTTACAGAACTTGATCAATTCATGGTACATTTATAGTATGTTCATTCATTATCATCAACGAGTTTTTATCGCTGTGGTATATCGCATTGTTCACAAACTTTTTCGGCTTATCGTACATTTTCTAAACATATGAAATGTGAAATGTTAAATAATATAAATTCTAATCATAATTTTAAAAAAAATAATAATTCTTTGCCCATTACTATGGAAAATTTAATTTTTCCAGGAAAGAGGCTATCCAACTTCAAAAAAATGTAACAAACATAATAACCACTTCCATCGCTCATGAATTAAAGAAATTAATTCTTGACAATAACACTATACAAAAAAATGCACTTAAATCCATCATTCATTTCTGTGAAAATCCATTTGTAGGATTAGATACTGAGTTCAAATTTCTTAAATCATTGGAAATTAATGAATATTATGAAAAGCCTAAAATTATTACTTTGGATAACACCATAGGTGATGTGCGAATGAATAACATTAACACTGTAGATGAAAAAAAAGTCAAAGGAGTTATCCTACCATTAAAATTTCAATTTAGAAAATACTTTGAGGCACCAGGTATTTTAGATTCTTACATTAAAAATCAAGATTTAATGAAAAATGAAAATGGGTTTACAAATTTCATTAATAGTCAACTATATGGAAAGATAAAATGTTGTTGTTCAACGAGGACAGTGTCATTTATATACCCTACTTCTTATATTTCGATGACTTTGAGGTGAACAACTCATTGGGTTCACATTCATCATCAGTTTTAGGTGTTTATTATTCATTTCCAACTGCTCCTGAAGCTCTAAAATCAAATTTAAATAATATTTTTGTAGCTGCTTTATTTAACTCGAAAGATGTAAAATTGATTGGAAATGATAAATGTTTTTATTTTTTAGTTGATGAAATTAATGAATTACAAAATCATGGAATAAATATAATAGTAAATGATGGAAAACAATTTAAGATTAAATTTCTGTTGGGTCTAGTTGTGGGGGATAACCTTGGAGTAAATAGTATTTTAGGATTTGCAAGGTCATTTTCATCAAATTATTTTTGTCGTTTTTGTATTTCTGACAAAAAAAGTATCCAAGAACTTACCAATGAAAGTATTAACTTACTACGTAATAAACAAAATTATGATGAACATATTATGATTAATAATTGTAAAATTACTGGTATATATGAAGAATCTATATTTAACAAAATACATTCCTTCCATGTTGTTAAAAACTATGCAGTGGACATAATGCATGATATTAATGAGGGAATTTGTGTGTACAATATGAATCATATCATATGTCATTTAATTAATTTGGGTTTTTTTAGTTTGGAAACATTAAATAGTAGAAAACAAGGATTTAATTATGGCGACACTGAAATTGGAAACAAGTCCCCTCCTTTAAAGCAAATTAAAATGAATACTTTGAAATTAAAAATGTCTTCAAGGGAAATGCAGACATTTATTCATTTTTTTCCACTTCTAGTAGGAGACTTGGTCCCTAAAAATAATCAAATTTGGTTGTTTTTGATCAATCTTATTGAGATGATTGATTTATTGTTGTTGTCAAAATTCAATAATCAAATTATTTTGAATTTAGAAAAACATATCACGTATCATAATAATAAATATACTGAGTTATTTCAAGATTCATTAAAGCCAATACATCACTTTCTTATCCACTATTGTAATATAATAAAAAAGTCAGGGCCCTTAAAATATTTATGGAGTTATAGATTTGAGTCTAAGCCTAGACAGCTTAAAACATACACGAAAAGCATAACTTCAAGAGTTCATATTCCTATTTCGTTAGGTATAAAATATTCCATTAATTTTTCTGATTTAATTTTAAATTTAAGTTATAGTTCTTGTATTTCGAAAAATTTAGACTCTCCGTTGAGTTCATGTGAATATTTTGAAAAAATTAAAATTTTGTTTTCACCTAATGATTTGACAACACTTGATCAGGCTCTTTGTTATGATCAAATTGTATATAACAACACAGTGTATAAAATCAATCATATGCTTACAGCTTTATTTGACAATAATATATTAGTATATAAATTAAAAAAAATTATATGTTCTGATGATAAAGTGTTTTTTTTATGTCATACTCTAAATGTACTGTCTTATAACAAACATTTTGTAAGTTATATTGTCTCAAATGTTGATAATGTTTTGAAAAGTAATACATATTTCATGGGTCCTCCAATTCATTTATATCATCTAAATAATAAAGACACGGTAATACGGGTCAAACATTACTTTACATAGAATATTTATTAAAATACATATAATTTGATTTATGTTAT